AAAAGATAAGTAGTCTACCTTGTAGCCGCAAGCCAATAGTACAAAAAAAGACGAAAAGGCTTGGATAAAGAAAATTTGCAGTAAGAAAAAAAATCGAAATCTAAATTGCCACTTTTTTATATCTTTTCATAGGCCTCAAACCAAACTACGAAGTTCTTCGATTTATTGCGTAATGAACAGCTGAATTTTTCTTGCAAAAACTGTCAACAGGATGCCCTACCCTACGCTTACAGGAATGAGTAGGCTTCGGCGATTGCTTTCTTTAGTGAAGGTCCATGGGCCAACGAATGACCGAAATGACTACTTATGTTGAAGTGTCGATATCTCAGCTTGGATTGTCTCAAAAAGTACAATCATAGATGCGTATTGTAGACAATTCCTTTTACATACAAAACAGATTTTCGAGGAAGAGCCTTTCGTTCGCTCTTAAGTTCTGACTAGAAAAATGAATGCAATAAAATTCTGATTTTGGTGGAGCTTATGTGGGGCTCATTAACTTCAAAGAATGTGGTTGAAAGATCGGTTCCACCGCTGCTAGATAGAGCATGAAAATCACTTCTCAATGGTATGCTGCTTCTGTTTCAAGGAAAACTTTTGATGGGGAAAAGTTCTGCTGAACAACGGCTTTCCAAAATGGATTACTTTTGCATCAACCTAAAAAAACAATTTGCCAATAAACTCTGCTAACCTCGATCTTCCCGTATTGATCGATGAAACATTGTGATCGCTGCTCAAATTCCTTTTCTGTATTTTCATTCCACCATGAGCGACGTTCGCCATGGGCATCATAGAAACGTCCTAAAATACGTAAATCAAGACTTTGTTGAGGCAACGAGATAATTGGGGATCTTCAACCACAAGCACAAAAAGAATACCGTCACTATCAAAGCCGTGTGTGATTTCGTGCCCGACTACTGATCCAATAGCCCCATAGTTCACCGCTCTAGAAATAGATGCTTAGCTTAGACGCCCACTATACGAAATTGAAGCTTTGATAAACTTTATATGGAAGTTACACACTTTTTGCATCCTGCAAGGCATGTCATATCTGAAAGATCAATTTTATAGAGCTGACTTCTGTTAACAGTTCTTCCAGTCCAAAAGTTCCGCATCTAAGTACAATTATGCGGTGCGACTTGCAAGCGTCGCACGTTTTCTTTTGATCTTTGTGAGCAGACTAACCTGCTCGCAGTGGAAATGTGTGATATAGGTGACACAAGTGAACTGAACAATCATTGGGATTGACAACTTGTTTCTATCTTCTAAGAAAACATCGTGGCCCTTTTTAAATTGCGAATCTAATGTAATTCATTTAGCATTTCTAGCAGGGAGCTTATTTGACATGAGCATTATACATGCTCAAAAAATGCCCCTACTGTCTACTGTTGATACCTCTCTTGTTCTGAGCTCTTTCGCCGACATTCCGGTCTCTTCATGTAAAGCTAACATGAACTCAGATTTACACTATAGAATGATTTTTTGAGTTCCTCATGGATTAGATTTTGGTAAAAACTGGCTGAATGGTGAATTTATAGAAAACTGAGTGCATTTTCAAAGAACTACAACACAACCAAGCCTTTTGTGGTGGGCTAATCACCCTCTCAAAATCATACTAGCTAATTTTAGTGATATACATAGCATAAATATTTCAAAAGGCAAAATGAAGCATTTTCAACATTTGTTCCTTTTTTATAAAAAAAGGTGCTTTTGCAGATTTTTTAGCACGTCTTGCATTTTTCAGGACGTCCTGCATTGCAGATTGTTGGGAGAAAAGAAGACGGTCTGCCATGTTGTTTGCATCTTAACTGCACGGTTTAACCGCGTTTATAATGCAGAAAAAGCTCAATGGATTCAGTGAGCTTTTCTGAGTGATAAAATAAGAATCTGTACGGCAAACGTGGTCAAATCCGTCCTGCAAGGTTTAACTAGAGATACTTTTATAGTCCTGTCAATCCTTTTATACGCAACGTACTCCTGGTGCATGTTCCGATTTCAGAGAGAATTTGAGTGTTGATTAGATGACTTTCTTTGGACCCGGAGTGCAGTTCAGAAAATTAAAATTGAGGATGACAGGAATGTGACAAGGATTGTGCGCTGCATTAAGAAATTTATTATTGACTCATTCTTTGTAACAATTAGTGATTTTGATGATTCAAAGAAACGCTAAAATTTATGGGACGACCTAATCGAATAACGAAAAAAGTCCTGTCAATCCAA